ACATGCTCTGCATGTTCGACTGAGCCGAAGTGCAGAAGGACTTCGACTCAGCCTATCCAACATCTGCTGCTGTTCGCCCCTATTCTCATAGGTGCTGAAAGGCAGTGAGTGAATAGCCGAATCCCATCAAGCAACTTTCGGCTCGGCTATTCTGCTCGGTACCTTTGCGATCACGGCTGGTTCCGCCCAGCTGTCATTTGCGCGGAGATTGGTCGGCTTCGGCTGATTGTGAATAGCCCGTACAGCAGCCCTTCGGTTCGACTGAACCTAAGGGCAGAGGCGGCCGAAGGATCAGCCAAAGCTACGGCTAGATCCTTCGGCTTGCTCTTTACTGAATAACGTCATTGGAGTCACTGACCTAGAACACGTATGCAGGTTTTTTGACTTTTCTATCTTTTCTGTTCTGTATGCTTGTTCTAGGTTGTTGATTTAATAAAAAAAGAGTTTCAGGGTAACACCCAAACAAATAGCAATTTCTGAAGGAGTCCCGTGTATTTTTCACATTACAGGTTTACTTTACTCTTACCACACAAATACCCATTAGTTTTTGTATAACTGCAATATTTAATTTTATCAAAACCCAATTGTATTGTCACACGAGATAGATGGATTATTTCAGATTGATCCAAATTGTGATCATTCTATCAATAGTCTTTCAGTGAATTTTTTTCCGCAAACCATAAAAAATTGAAATATAAAAATATGGTATACAACCCCCGCTGCTTATTATTGGCATACACAGTTTGATTTCTTAGTAGTAATCAAAATATAAACAATTAGTAGAACCACTGTATTTTGAAATATGATGCGTGGGCAGCTTTATTAAGGAGACTAAGAATCCATGTGTATCGAAAACACATAAGGTTCCAATGGGGTGCAAGGCTGTGGCAAGGGGCAGATGCATTGTCTCCATGTAGGGGAGGGGGGACGAGGGTTGCCAGGAGAATGTACAGCACAAGATATTTTATCTGCTTTGCAGGTTAAACACTGGGGATGACACTTTTCATGTATCAGGGTGTATTCTAGGGTTGCCACCTGTACGGGTTTCACCCGTACAGTACGGGTTTGGCATCTTGTGTCCAGTTTTCTGGCCACCTCAGCCCACGACACAAGATGTCACAGTTTCAGGCAGACAGGGGCAGCCCCGGGGTCCTGGAGAGGAATACGTGAAGGAGGACCTTCTGCTGTGTGAGCACAATCCCGGCAGAGTGTGCGGCTGTCTGTGCGGCTACAGGTACGTGTCTTGAGGGGTTAATCCGGGCCGGTAATAGTGTGTGATTGTTGAACAGACAATGCCGATAGTTTCTGAACTGTCACAGCACTGTCTCCTGTCCCGTTGCAGCTGCTTGGGGGGGAAGGGGGAGGGGGGAAGAAAGATAGTGAGTGTGTGTAATTCTTATGCTGATTTCAGCTCTTGCTGTAAAGAATAAGGTGACCAGATTCCTGTGTCCATGATTTATACTTGCTGAGCATACCTGGGAACTTGGAGGCTTTGGGGCAGAGTTGTCAGCTTATCTTACCAGCTCTCTGAGATCCAGGCTAATGTTCACTCCTGTCCAGCAGAGTAGAGATGGAGACAGCTGTGGGGAGGATTTGGATTTCTCCTCCCTCTAATAGCAGCCTTCAGTGGACAGAGGAAAACAGGTAGAGTGGGTGCCTGCTGAGAAACCTGCTGCCTGGATATGCACCTCTACTCCTCCTCCTGTGGGACATGTGGAATGCTGCAACTATTGGGCATCATTGTTTACATTGGAGAAAACCGCAGTGAGCAGGAGAGTCCAAGACGGGGGACAGGTTTGTACACCAATGGGGTACATGACAAAAAAGAAGCAGGGGTGACAAGAACGGGCTGTGCCCATCTGTAATATTGTTACCAATTTCAGCTTTCTCATTTTTGTTAATATGTATTCCTAACAGCCCTGGCAAATCTGCATTTTGCCTAGAAAGATAAGCACTGATGTGAAGGTGGGGGGAACAACTCAGCCCCAGGGCTGACATAGATGCCATGGTGGTTCTCCCAAACATTTTTCCTCCCACCGATACCATCACACTGTGATTATAATGAGGTCTGATAAACCCCAAACTAAATGGGGAGACAGGGAAAGTCATGCAGAACACAATGCTGCTCCCATATAATTAAAATTCGCAAGTCAGCAGCAAAACAATCAGATTTAAATCTTATGTTTATGATGGAGATTTGACCACTTTGAGAGACAACAGAACAGACTGAAATAACAGTAGGCAGAGCCATCATAATTCGCATGAAAACAACGGAGCACTTTTGACAAGACATAGACTCCGTGATTTAAACCCCACTATCTGAATGTCAGAGCCTGCTAATAGTGGTCATAAACCTCCATTAAGCAGCATTCTTCCAATGAAAGCATTTTGTAAAATGCCCTGTCTTGGATAAGACTCAACAATACAATCTGCGAGTCTGGTTTTTGAACTACACAGGGATAAGTTTCATATAATATCTATAATTAGCGCTATGGTGGAATTACAGTAGACTCATAAAAAGGTAGCTACACAATTGTATAAGAAAATAACAGGTAAATAACAAACATGTCTATGCTATAATGTACAGCAGGTGGATTGGTAACATTAAATCTCAAAATAGGCAATCTATGCATCTCATTTATAATATGTTAGATTTTTATCAAACCATAGTTTCATGACTCTCAATGAGTCTTAGTTGTTGAATTGTACAGCCATGTAATCTGGAAATATGAGTAGAGTTTGAATAGTTGGCATTAAGTGAGTGTCCACTGAAGTATAATCAAACGTTTCAGCACTTCTACATAACACCTCTCAGCTATTTTGATTGAGTGGCGGTTGTCTCATCAACAGTCTCTAAAAGGTCCACAAAAAGCTGCTGCTGTTGACTTCCCTAGCACTCAATTTCCACCAGAACCAAGCCAACAAGTAATTTATGGGGGGCCAGTGACTTTGTCAGATTAGACTTACTCTGAATGGAACTGGACTTTGCCAAAACCACAAACAAGGCAAACTTTGTTAACCAGTTTATTTTGTTGTTTGCTTACAGTCTGTTTTGTAATATCCTTTCCGTAAATTTTTTATTTGCACCATTTTATTTCCTTCACTGGCTTGAATAAGCACCTAGATAGAGAATGTCATAGGTTACTGCAGGGGCCCTGAGAGCTGCATAAAATGTGCCAAAGTGCCACATGCAGCCCCTAGGCCATAGGTCGAGCACCAAAGATACAGTCACTCAACAGTCTTTTCTTTAGATGTGCAGAGTATTAACAACTCTGTCGAAAATTTTAAAAAGCTGCACTGGAATTCCACTAACAAAAGTGAACAATTTGTTGGAATTTTCCTGGAAAAGACTGGGGATCTGGGGATCATCCCTAGGTGATAATTATCCATAACTATCCATATTATCCATAAATATCCATAACTATAGTTGTCCCTTTATAACTCCAGCAGAAAATATACAAAGCTTGCTATAAAAAAAATAGTAGCACATTTAAGATACCGTATATACTCAAGTATAAGCCGTCCCGAATATAAGCCGAGGTACCTAATTTTACCACAAAAAACTGGGAAAAAGTATTGACTCGAATATAAGCCGAGGGTGGGAAATGTGGCCACCTAAATTAGGACCTGGAGACTGCCAGATGACCCCGCTCGGAGCGCCGCCCACCGGAGCAGCAGTGACGCTCGGCGAGGTAAGTAAGAAGAAACCTGACCAGCTCGAGACGCTGACTCGAGTATAAGCTGAGGGGGGCACTTTTCAGCAAAAAAAAATGGGCTGAAAAACTCGGCTTATACTCGAGTATATACAGTACTAGAATTATGCATTATGTTTGTAATACCGCTTATAATAAAATGATGGAACTCAGCTGCGGAAGTCTTTAAAAAATTTTTTTTTACTTCACGGTAATGACAGTTTCTATAAATAAGGTTATCTCAGTAGTGTGTTTGTATCACATCACAAGATAATTAATTTATACTGAATGAGCATCTCACTGTTGACATAAATCCAATGTTCATTTCACATAACAGGAATGAAGCAACATGTAAGGAAACAGTTGTAATCTTATTCTCACAACACAAGGTGAATGTTTGAAGTCAATGAGTAGTAGTAGCCAGGTGTAATGTTAACTTCACATCACAAGATTTAGCAATAGCTTGAAATAGGTTGTAGCAGTAGAGGGCAATTGTATTGCTGGTTTAACAGCACACGTTAAAAGTCATTATGGTTGTGTGCATATCATCAGCTGTGGCATTGAATACTTGCTGTTAGTTGCATTAAGGCTACTATGATGAATCCTCCAGACTGTGGCTGATTGCTGACTGTGGAAGCTGAAGTGCAGTGTCTGGCTTGTAGTCTTGGTGCACCAGGAGTCACAGCAGGCTGAAGTAAGCAGACGTATTTGGAGGGTTGAGGTAGGAGGCTAATGAGCCTATTCAGTGGCAGGAAGGAGAGCAGGGCTGCTCAGAGCTTGTCCAGCCACGACATCCATTGCAGGAACACTGGACAAGTGAATTTTCGTGGCTTAAGCCAAGGGGGGGGGGGGGGGAGAGCGGCATTGTGTCAGCTGACATTGGGCGGAGTCACCCTCCGGGTCCGAGACGCCAGAGAGGTACGTATCCTGGATCTATTACAGTGTTTAGCTGGCAAATGTTTCAGAGGAAGCACATCACACCCCTGCTGCTCTCACTATGTGACATTATCAGCCAGGGAGAGCACAAGGCACATGCAGCCCAAGTTGGAAAGGAAAATATTTTCCAACCATCCTGTGCATGCTCAGTAGGGACAGAGTGTAATTTAACATCTCTCCCATGCCTGGCCACTAATGCTGCAATTCTACCTTACAAATGTTTTAAAGTTTCAGCCAATACAATGTGTCTTTTTACCAAAGTGTTTTGTATCTCAATGGTATAAAAAGTACCAAGATCCTCATTTCACCACAGATATTTGTTTAATTCTCAGTCCAGTCAAAGATTTACCACACCAACTTGTGCTCATCACAATGTCCCTGACTGCAAGTGACAAGGCTGCTGTCCGTTCCATCTGGAACAAGGTTTCCCATCAGGCCAGTGAACTAGGTGGTGAGATTATGGACAGGTAAAGTCTCTTTAAATCTTCCTATTTTGTGATGTAGATGATTGGAGTATGTTTGTGAAGGTTCTCATTAATCCAGGTCAAGGTATAGCTAGTAGTAGTATGTCACATTCAACTGTGTAAGTCTCTTTTGTCATCCATGTTTCTCCCTGTCTGTCAGCACTTGTTTTCTACAACTGTACACTGAGCTGCAGATGCGCAGGAGTTTTGCCGAGATGAAGTAACTTGCATACATGTGCGTCAAAGTTAGGGCTGCAACCAACTAATCGATTAAGCGATAATAACCGATAATGAGAATAGTTAACTTGTCAACTATTCTCATTATCGATTAGTTAGTTAGATCATCTAGCTCTCTCCTCTATACTGGGAGGGGGGCACAGCAAGCAGTGGGTGGGTGCATTAGCCAGCCTGCTATTGGCTATTGCAATTTGAAATAACCAATAGCAGGCTGGCTATTGCACCAGCCCACTACCTGCTGTATTTACATTCAGCTGCCATCTGCGGAATCTTGCCACTGGCAGCTGTCAATCCGTACCTGAAGTTATTCAAGCACCGTATGCTTACAATACAATTATTGAAAAAGAATTACAAAATGTGGGAAAAAAGTTGTTTTTGTTTTCGGCCTGACAAATTCTGCTGCAGGAGGTGCATTGCAGTGCCATTCACTTTAATGGCTCCCCAAACACGTCTCCCTCCCATAGTGTGAAAAAAAACAACGGTTGGTGGGTTCAAGTTGTTCCAATTCCTGTCAATTCACCTTCTAAATGGCCAATGTTAGCCTCCCCTGCACATTTCTCCTTGTAGTTCATTCAGTGCCCCATGGAAAAAAATGTAGACGCCACATAGTGTGAAATCCTTAAAAACTTTTTTAAAGTCTTTATGACGAAACATGTCAAGGAGGAGTTAACACGCTGATTTAATCAAGCTGATCACTGGGGGCAAAGCTGTTTTGCCAGAGCAGGAATTATACAGCTCTGCCTAGTAAACCTGTTAAAAATGTAAGTTTTTAAAGAATCTATGATTAAAAGTTTTTAAGGATTTCACACCATGTGGCGTCTACATTGTATATTTATGTATACGTTGTAAGTTTTTAAGCGCAGTGACTTTATTTTGAGATTGTAAAGAGTGACTTTAGGATTCACTTGTTTTCACTGCTGCTGACACATTGCATTGAAACACCAAAAGCGCGGATTCTACACACAATTGCATGTTTTATATTACACCCGAAATATGGGTGTTGCAAGAACCATGTTATAAAAAGTATACATAATCTTTAAAGGAGAACCTATGGGGTTAAGGCTTTTCCCCATAGTTCTCCTTAGGGTAACGGGAGGGCACAAACTAGCGTCCTCCCGTCACCCTAAGCTCAGTATATAGGGAGCTACAGCTCGCGTTATACTGAGACGCCGCAGCCGGAGCGGATCCCGACAATGTCTGGATCCGCCCAGCTGCGTGAGTGACAGCTGGCTCTGCCTATCTAGGGGCAGAACCAGCTGTACCCACCCCTTCCCCGTCCGTTCCGCCAGTCAGCGGTGGAAGAGCGGGGAAGGGGGGAATCCAGCCCCTCCCCTGTCACGGCAGAGAGCCGTGACAGGATCGAGAGGTGAGCGAACGCCGGTATGTGTTCGCTCACCTCCCGATCTACTGAGCCGACGTGTGACAGTCTCATTGTCACAGGTCGGCTAGAACTATGAGGTGTGAGAAAAGCACTCACCTCATAGTTCTCCTTTAAGCTTTTTGTGCTACCTGTGTTGATTTAAATGCTGGGGTGTTTTTCTGAAGACTCATCAGATTTGAAGAAGTGGCATGGTTAAGCTATGAAATGTCTTCAACATTACAGAACAATTCCGGTTGATAGGACTAACTACTACCAGCTATGATGAATGGAGGTTTTTTTGTCTCTTTTGTATCTTGCACTGTAACAATGTTGAAATCTGATTAGTTGCCTTCTACAACACCATACTTTTATTTATTTGTTAGTGTTATATATGAGGCCTCATGTGCAAGGTTGCTCATGCTATGGAGCAAGGTGATAATGTTTCTTCAGGATGCATCTTTAACCCCTTAGTGATGGTTGACGTACACGGTACGTCCCCATCACTAAGTGCCCAAATTATGTGAGCTATTTGGAGCGCTGAATCTCAGTGGTTACCGCTTATTAATAGGTGCCTCAGTATTGAGGCATCCATTAATGAAAGAGTTAAGCTTTTACAGACACCCGACCAGAGCAGTATTTACCGCACTTGCTGTCACTGATTAGAAAATCCTGATGTGTACCGGCTTTTCGCTATGTTTATCAGCATAGAAACATTTAGCTACATATTTCTATCCTGAAACATTGTTGCAGGTTTCTGATCATTCTGAGAACAATCAGAAGCCTTTAGTTACACTGAACCTGACATGCTATCAGGATCAGAGTCCCTAAGGTTATTATTGGCTGTTCCTAAGGCCCCATTCACACCTATGCGTATTGTAATATGCGCGTCCATCGCGCGATTCCAAAGGCTACTTGGCAGTATACAAATGGAAAACGCCCTACAAAACGGACCAATACGCAGCAAAAAACGCTCCGGGACCTTTTCATGCGTGGGCCGTTTTGTAGTGCGTTCGGGACGGGCGGAAATACGGACAGGTGGGAACGATACCATTGACTACAATGCTATTTATTTTTTTGACCATTTTGTAGAGCGTTCATCAAGCGTAGGACGCGCTACAAAACGGTCAGGTGTGAATGGGGCCTTAGTTTGCAGCAGCCTAATAATATCCAAAAATATATTAAATAAATTAACAAGCAGTCATAGTGAGATTCATTCACAATGATTGTGCTTGATATAATTATTCCGTCATGCAACGCTGTATTGAAATACATTTTATACCATTTTTTGGGGACAGATAGAGCTTTCTTTTGGTGGTATTTAATCACCACTGTGTGTTTTATTTATTTTTTTATTTATTTTTTATATAACAAAAAAAGTACCCAATATTTTAAAAAAAAATATTTTCCCTTTATTATTTTAGAAAACAATAATTTTTACCCATTTTTTGGGTAAAATATAAAAGTCGGGGTCACGTCGGGTAAATAGACACCAAACATGTCAAGCCTTAAAATGGCGCGTGGCCGCAAAATTGCAAAAGACCACCATAGCCAAAATTTGCCATAGGCGACGCTTTAAAAGATTTTAGCGCTCATCAGTTTAGTGTTATCAGTAATTGATGGCCCTAAAATGATTGCTCTCATTGCGGCATTCGCGGCGATACGTAACACGTGCAGCATAATTGGAGCAGTCACCCTTTTTTGCGTGTAGGCGCATGTAACGCATTTTTGCGCATCTATGTGGGGGTGGTGGACTTTTAAAAAATGTTGTGTTTTTTTTGTTTTGTGTGTGTAAATTTGTATTTATTTTGTGAGCTTTTTAAACTTTTTTTCCCACACTTTATTGTTATCACATAGGGTGCTCCATTTTGATAACAAATTACAGTTACAGTTCCTATTTATGGAGACATCAGGGGTCTCTAAGACCCCTTATGTCACCTAGGGACCCTCAGAGAAGCTGATGAAACACAGATCTGCTTCATCATCTTGTCCCCGGTTTCTGTAACGGAGAGTGACAGAGGAATGCGGAAGTGATGTAATATACATCACTTCCTGCATTCAGAGACCGGGAGGAGAGCAGAGGGAGATCGCGAACTGATCTCCCTCCGTTCTCAGTGAACAGAGCCACATCGCCCTCTCCCGTCCGGCCGTCTTTCAACGATCGGCGGACGGGAGGTGGTTAAAAATAAATAAAATATGTAAAAAAATGTGAAAAAAAGTGTAAAAAAATAAAAATACATTACAAAAATTAAAATGATATTATATACATATATTTTATACTATAATTTTTTATAAAAATTACCTCATGACGGCGATGTTCAAAATATGTCACTGTCATTAAGTGTGACACTTAAGGTGCCCATACCCCTTACAATTATCTGCAGATTTTCTGTGGTCAGATGGAAAAAGTGCAACAGATTGGCCCAGGTGCAGATTACTCCATCCACACAGTTAAGTATAGATATAGGAATCTGTTGCACCTTTTCCATCTGACCACAGAAAATCTGCAGATAATTGTAAGGTGTATGGGCAGCTTTAGTGACAGAGACATTGTATGCCAGATAACCACTATTAGCTTTTAGAGAAAAAAAAATGTAAGCTTTTAGTTTTAGGCAGAGAAATACAGAGAAGTACAGAAACATTTTCAAAATCCGAGGGATATGAGGTGTTTCCAAATAAAGACAAATAAATGAATTTATTTTAATGCATTTTTTTTAGCTGTGCTATTTTTCTAAAAAATAATATTAATCAAAACTGGGAAAAGGTGTTTTCTTTAAGTTTTTTCCTCATTGTATATATTTTTTAAGTGAGGTTTTAGGCACACATATGTGATATAAATATATAGGCCTATTTGTCCTCTAAAAAACAATATATGATATGTGTGGGTGCACTTAGTAAGAAAGTATAGCACTGCCATGGGAGAATCACACAGCAAAAATGTAAAAAGTGCCTCAGTCAATAACGAACAGAAACTGGAAAAAAATAAAACCTCATGAGAGGGTTAAGGGAAGGGCCGCCGTCAGGGGGGTACGGCCGATATTGATGTAAGGGGCCTGGGCAGCCTTAGGGGCCCGGGAACCTAACATGAGCATCGGCCGTACAAGTGACAGGCCAGGAGGCGGACGGGCTCCCGCAGCACCGGAAGAGGCTGGGGCCCACCTCCGGTGTCCCCAGGGGGTCTCCACTGTACATTAGATTTTTAAAGATGGCCACCGCGAGTAGCGTCGGCCATCTTTAAACCTGGCAAGCACCCACACCTCATTTAATATATTGCCAATCAGGCAATATATTAAATGAAAATTATGCCCTGGTGGTCGTGTGGGGAATTAGTATGATCTGCATCTCTTACTGATGCAGACCATACTGATTGCTCCCTCATGGTGCCACCGCTGATTGGCAGGGATCGATTAGTATGGTCTGCATCAGCCAGAGTGCAGATCACACTGATCCTCCACTGAAGATTTAGCCCAGGGATACAGCCCTCCTTCCTGGAAAACAGGTAAGCAGGAGTGGGTACATTTTTTAAAATAACTTTTAGTGTTAGTGTGTGTGTGTGTGATGTGTTTTAACCGCTTGTAGACCAGGTGTTTAGATGCCAGGCCATTTTTCAGTATTCAACGCTGCAGTACTTTGACTGACATTTATTCCGTCATGCAACGCTGTACTGAAATTAATTTTAAACCATTTTTTGGGGACAGATAAGAGCTTTCTTTTGGTGGTATTTAAAGGAGAACTATGAGGTGAGTGCTTTTCACTCACCTCATAGTTCTAGCCGACCTGTGACAATGAGACTGTCACAGGTCGGCTCAGTAGATCGGGAAGTGAGCGAACACATACCGGCATTTGCTCACTTCTCGATCCTGCCACGGCTCTCTGCCCAGGCCTAAAGCTGTGTAAGGGGCCCCAAAATTTCTGATGGCTGCCCTGGTTAAGGGGCAGCAACTGATGAGGTTCTCCTCTTACTTCATATCCCAGCAGACTGCTGTCAGCATGGACACTGGGGAGCAGCACAAAGATACAAAATGTGTTTCCCCCAATGTTTATTACTATCAATATCTTTACTGACAATAGGAATGTTACAATGTGCTTACAATGTGCAATGTGCTGTATCAAAAAGTTAAATATACCTGTATTTTAAATGATTGTTAAAATATAATTCAATTTTGGTACTAAAATAATGCAATTGGTCATAAAGAGTATACTAATAATACCAACACCTTGCTTAATTTAATGTGACTTTTTTTGTCTAAATTGCTCTGTTGTTTATTTGCTAAATACTTAATAAAAGTTTCATGATAAAAATAATACCTTCTGTTGTTATTGTCATTTCTTTTAGGCTTTTCACTAACCATCCCCAAACCAAACATTTATTTAGCCACATTGACCTGACTCCTGGCTCTGCTGACATCAAAGCTGAAGGGGGAAAGCTTATGGATGTTATTGGAAATGCAGTCAATCACATGGATGACCTTGCTGGCAACCTGTCAACTAAAAACCTGCCTGTATACAAACTTTGGACAGATCCAAAAACCAATAAAGTAAAGATCACTATTCACTATTATTATACAGTAATATGATAAAATTCACTGGATTTTGCTGTTGATTATAACATGATCTATTCTTTCTATTTTGGTTACCTTCATTTATAATGTTAACATCACGAGCCATAAAATTAAGTTAGATATGTGCTATCACTTGATTTTCTTTGACTCCCTGCCAGTGGGCTTTGGAAAATTATTGTCTTATCAAAGCTAGGTTTTCATCAAGGTTATGAAAGCCAAAACTTTAAAGAAAACAAAATCCAAAAATTGTTTTGGTTACACTTCTCTTTTGGGTCACAAGAGTAAATTTAGAAATGTACTTCTGGGACCCAAAGCCAGCAGGCAATAGCCCAATCCCAGCTGACAGGGCACAGACAAGAAGGATCCCAACAGGGGGCGTGGCCTTGCTATGGCGGTGTGAAGACGCTGATCACTTGAGCTCTGCTGCCACCCGAGCATCTTCCAGTAGATCACTACCTAATTGAGCGCCCTAATCGATGTCCAAGAAGGGCAAACCCCCGGAACCAACAGTGGACGGAAAACTGGGAATCTGCACCAGTTCTTCACGTCCCCGGCCGTCTCCACACATTCATCCATGGCTAACCGCATGGCGTCGCTTGAGCCTACACCATCCCTATCACCTCGGGACTTGCTGGGGTCTCCCCACCTTCTTCTACAACGGACCGCAGAACCCCTACAGAAGATCTCCCTCGGGACTCCCCCAGCATCAGCATGGATCTATCCCAGCACCCCCTGATATCTTCCATCTTGCTCTCGTTGCCGACCAAACAGGATATGGTGGACCTGGTGTCTCGGATGGAAGAGGCTCTCAAACGAGATATAGTTGGTGTCTCGACCGCGGTATCCCACTTAGAGGACCGGGTTACATCTCTATGTTCGGATCATGACACCGTCACCCAACGGCTGGCTGCACTTGAATCCACGGTTTTACATCAGGAGTCTCGACTTACCTCGATGACACTGGCTCATGACAGATACGCCAGATCCTACATGCCACGGAGAAGCTGCTTACTCTCTCGTATCATTCCTCTATTAGCAATAGATACCAGGAGTCGGGCTACAAGATCGTGAATAGATGGTACTGTACTCCGCAATCTCTCCATGCACTATTTCCTGAATCTCCTGACCTCTGTTGGTGCTGCCAGCAACCCTCAGCAGGAATGCTCCACATTTTCTGGCCCTGCCCGGTCCTCCGGCAGTTCTGGGAACAGGTGCGCGCTCTCACTCAGAAATTTACGGGTGCCCGAGGACCCGGCCTTCTTCCTCCTAGACCACAACACCATCCCTCTACGCCCTTATACCCACGTAGTTAATGCAGCCGGGGCATGTATTCTAGCCCTCTGGAAGAAACCCGAACCCCCCCACATAGGCCAAGTCCTAGACCGCAATCATGACATTTACATCATGGAAGACCTCACGAGTTCCATCAAACACGCCTCCGCTCCCTTCGTCCGTACCTGGTTCCCCTGGATGGAATACATTCGGTCTCCTGACTACCTCACCCTCAGATAGGAGACTGCCAACCTACGCAGGATGGGGAAATTGCCCCTTACTTACTTTCAACTCACTTTCCTCCCACAGCTCTCTATTCTACTGCCACCTATTCCCTCCCCGCTACCTAACACTGTCACCCCACCCTGACTGCATCTCCCACCTCTCTCCCCCGCTACCTAACTCCCCACTCACCCACCCTATTCCTAATTTCTCTCATACCATGGTGACATCTTGAGCAATAGAGTTTTAAGTACATAATTGACCGCTCATACGAACGAAAGGATGTCATATCACCTACTGATTGATTACTACCCCCC